CACACTTCAAATGCAACGACAATCCCCTGTGAGTTACTTCGTTCCTTCCCATTCCCCTCGGAAAAGACCGACATGTCATGCACTCACTCTCCACACTCAGTTTCGGACCACACAATGGACTAAATTCTTTACTTTAAGACCGACTTCTTCTACTGCCTATCTTTCCTACCATAGTATTGGCAAAGCGCTCCTACGCCATGTTGGTAGAGATTTTTCCCTTTCATGCTCTTAAGAATGGTATGTGCATCATCACAGTCCAGAATTCTACCCAAGCTCATGATCTTTCTCTTTCACATATCGATACTATTCCTATCACTATCGAAAAACATCATTCCCTCAATACTTGTAGTGGTACTGTTATTCTGCCCCATACCATAGTCCAACAGAATTTCCAGAAATGTGGCAATGACATTCTCGAACAGCTGGAACTCCAAGATCTCCCAATTCTCAAGGTAGACACTTATGTTCTTCCTGCCCACGGGTGAAGACGATACCCTTGCCAATCATGGCCTATTTATAGTGGAATATACACGGCCTCAGGGGTAATCGGGGTGAGCTTCAGATGTTACTCTCCCAGTTTTCCCCTGTTGGTGTTTGCTTACAGGAACCAAAATTACACTCTGCTGTTATCTCTCCCATCTCAGGCTATAATTTATTGTATTTTTCAGATCCTTTTCCTGATGGGACCTTTAATGAAAGTGCCCTTCTTCTACGCACTAATATTCCGTACCATCAGCTATTTGTTCATATTTTCGCTGCATTACACAGCAGCCCGTATCCACTTGCATGGGGTGGTATACGCTCTGTTTCTTTATATCTCTCTCCTTCTCGGGCATTATCTATTCCAGATATTGCCTTTCTTGTTTCGTCATTACCACCACCGATTCTGTTACTTGGCGATTTTAATGCCCATCATTTCCTCTGGGGGGTCTCACTGTGATTCCCGTGGCATTCAGTTAGAGGCTTTTCTTTTGCCACCATCCCCTCCATGTTTTAAATACAGGTACTCACACCCATTTTGATTCTTGGACTTGCACTCTCTCTTGCATCGATCTCTCAGTCTGCTCTTCCTCCGCCACATTAGACTTCATCTGGCCTGTTCTCCAAGATTTACATGACAGCGATCATTTCCCAATCATTCTTACTTCCCCTTCATATTCACCACCTCTTTGTATCCCACGCTGGCAAATTGATCGGGAAAATTGGAACCTTTACTCACAACTAACTGTTTTTAGTGAGGTTCCTTCTTCGTCCTCCATTGATGAGCTTTTACACCTCTTCTCGTCCTCCGTTTTAACCGCAGCTTCTCATTCTATACCCCAAACTTCGGGCAGGCATTCTCAGAAATGCGTGCCTTTGCCTAGAACAGATTAACTTGGTCGCACTCGATGTATGCACAAGGCTTATTCCTCTAAGAAAAAGGAGGAGTAGATGTAAAATAGAAAGAGACAGGCGCTCCCTTTACAGGCGACGGAAAAGAATAACAGAGTGGCTAAAAGAGGTCAATATATCTGAAATGCGTAGGGAGACACTGGTCAGAGAAATAGCAAGCATCCAACTCAAGATAAAGGAATCTTATAGGAGTCAGGAATCGCAGGAAGAACTAAAAGCCATAAATGAAATCGAAAGAAACCCAAAGTATTTCTTCTCCTATGCCAAATCAAAGTCGAGAACAACGTCCAGTATTGGGCCCCTACTTAAACAAGATGGGTCCTACACAGATGACAGCAAGGAAATGAGTGAGCTACTCAAGTCCCAATATGACTCAGTTTTTAGCAAGCCGCTAACCAGACTGAGAGTCGAAGATCAAAATGAATTTTTTATGAGCCACAAAATTTGGTTAACACAAGCCTATCCGATGTTATCCTGACGCCACATGACTTCGAACAGGCGATAAATGACAGGGCCCATGCACTCTGCCCCAGGGCCAGATCATGGAACCCGTGTTCATCAAGAACTGCAAGAAGCCCCTATCACAAGCCTTTTCCATCCTATGGAGAGGAGCATGGACACGGGGGTCGTCCCACAGTTACTAAAACCAACAGACAGCCCCACTCCATAAAGGGGACAGTAAAAACAACAGCAAAGAACTACAGACCGATAGCACTAACATCCCATATCATAAAAATTTTGAAAGGGTCCTAAGAAGCAAGATCACCACCCATCTAGAAACCCCATCAGTTACACAACCCAGGGCAACAGGGGTTTAGAACAGGTCACTCCTGTCTGTCTCAACTATTGGATCACTACGACAAGGTCCTAAATGCACTAGAAGATAAAAAGAATGCAGATGTAATATATACAGGCTTTGCAAAAGCCTTCGAAAAGTGTGACCCATGGCATAATAGCGCATAAAATGCGTGCTAAAGGAATAAAGGAAAAGTCAGTCAATGGATCTATAATTTCCTCACTAACAGAACACAGAGAGTAGTCGTCAACAGAGTAAAGCCCGAGGCAGCTACGGTGAAAAGCTCTGTTCCACAAGGCACAGTTACTCGCTCCCATCTTGTTCCTCATTCTCATATCTGACATAGACAAGGATGTCAGCCACAGCACCGTGTCTTCCTTTGCAGATGACACCCGAATCTCCCATGACAGTGTCTTCCATTGCAGACACTGTAAAGGCTCCAGGCGGACATCAACCGAATCTTTCAGTGGGCTGCAGAAAACAATATGAAGTTCAACGATGAAAAATTTCAATTACTCAGATATGGTAAACACGAGGAAATTAAATCTTCATCAGAGTACAAAACAAATTTGGCCACAAAATAGAGCGAAACACTAACGTCAAAGACCTGGGAGTGATCATGTCGGAGGATCTCACCTTCAAGGACCATAACATTGTATCAATCACATCTGCTAGAAAAATGACAGGATGGATAATGAGAACCTTCAAAACTAGGGAGGCCAAGCCCATGATGACACTCTTCAGGTCACTTGTTCATCTAGGCTGGAATATTGCTGCACACTAACAGCACCTTTCAAGGCAGGTGAAATTGCTGACCTAGAAAATGTACAGAGAACCTTCACGGAGCATATAATGGAGATAAAACACCTCAATTACTGGGAGTGCTTGAGGTTCCTAAAACTGTATTCCCTGGAACGCAGGTGGGAGAGATTCATGATTATATACACCTGGAAAATCCTAG